CCCCCTGCTTGTGTTCCCTCTCTCGCTGTGTCTCTCTCTGTCAAATAAATAAATGAAATCTTAAAAAAAAAAAAAAAGAAATAGAGCTAGACAAGATGAACATTCCTAGTAGGAAGGAGCCTCATGACAAAGCCATTCAGTTTCACCCTGTTGAGATGATTGAGGCTCTTTAAGGAGTACTAGCTAGGACCATGCTTTGATGAATGTAATGAACAGAGGATGTTCAGGTGGCCATGGAGACATAGAGCATTGGGCCTAACTAGTGTTTGGTCTGTTCACCTCCTCCCTTGGAAAGACATCCCCCTGCTCCCAGCCCAGGCAGTTCTGTGAGTCCCCAGGGGAGCTCTCACTTGACTCACTTCTAAGTTCAGGTGACCAGCATGTGAGCATCTCTGGTTTCTTTCCTCTTCCCTGTTCCTCCTCCAGATCCTGGCCTTCCCCAGGTGTCCCAGAGAACACTCCTGCCTTCTCTTTAACATTAGCTGGGGGCTGAGGGGTGTGGGATGGAGAAAGGGAAGAGGAGAGGTAGAGAAATGAAGGCTAAATCAGATTTATGCCACTGTGGGAGGTTCTATGACTTGTAAACACTGTTAATAAATTTTTTTTTAAAAAATTCTTTCCCTGTAGAAGGCTTATGTATGGTTTTAGAATGATCCCTCAGTCAAGGCAAATGTAGAATCTTTGCTAGATTTTGAGACACTGAACTGATGTTGGTAAGACATGTAAGTAATGCTTTTTAAAAAGTCAAATAAATCCTGTTTTATCCCTTTCTTAGATAAAGCTGTTTTGGAGTAAAGCTCATGCTGAACCATCTGAGAAAGTCTCTCTTAGGATCTCTGTGACACAGCCAGACTCGACAGTTGGGATTGTAGCCGTTGACAAAAGCGTGAATCTGATGAATGTCTCAAATGATATTACAATGGAAAATGTGAGTTTAGCTATTTTTTTCTTACAAAAATACATGTTTAAAGAGCAAAAAGGAAACCTTATTGCATTACCTCAAATATCTAAAGGGAATTTCATTAGTTCCTCTTAAGTATAAGTCAGTCATCAGTAAAGCTTCCAAATAAAAAGGATTTGCATTCTGGTTGTTATGTTGGAAAGAGGCTGCATGTGGTGAAGTGTCTTTGCTGTCTTAGATGAGAGATGCCATCTAGAGTTTTCCCTCATTTTCATGCTGTATTTGAATTTAAGACTCTCGAGAAAGTACTAGGAAATTGACTTGTATAATTTTGGATGACACTGGAGAAGATAGCTTTAGATAATTTTGAAGTAGTTTCTGTTTTGGTTATACATAATGGTTATATATAATTACAGTCTTATTGAATCAGGAATTTGTAGTATATTGAGGGAGTGAAATCATGTTAATCTGCAGAAAACTTATAAACCAAGAAATATATAAATATCTAGTGTTACATAAGCTAATCCCCTATTCATTAATAATTTCATTTTTATTTGTAAGCTCTTGATATATCCTTGTGTGCCATTGTCAGTTGAAATCTGGATTGTATAACCTAGGTCCATTAATTGATTAAGTATAGTGATTAACAACATATAGGAGGAAAGATATAAATGTTTAGGCTAATTTGGTCATCTTGTTGTAAATTAATCCACTTGACAAATATTATATATAATTTTCAGTCTATAAAGCTAATTTTTCTAAATGCCCCCCCCTTTTTTTAAAGATTATTTATTTGATAGAGAGACACAGCGAGAGAGGGAACATAAGGGGGGGGGGGGGGGAGAGGGAGAAGCAGGCTTCCCGCTGAGCAGGGAGCCCGATGCGGGGGCTCGATCCCAGGACCCTGGGATCATGACCTGAGCCCAAGGCAGACGCTTAACGACTGAGCCACCCAGGTGCCCCTCTAAAGCCCCCTTTTTTAAAAAAAACTCCTTTAAAGCTGGTTGGTCATTTTTTTTCTCTTGACTTTTTAAAAATTCACATTATTCTAAAAAGTCTATAGCATTTTGCATTTGATTTAACTGAATTTAGTAATATCTCTCATTTAATGGGTTTCTAAATTCTTAAATCTATTATTTCATTTTTGTTTCCCTGTGTATGCACGTACGCACGTGCGCACACACACACAAACACACACACACACACACACACACACACTAGTTGGGTGACCTGGAGAAAATTCATCTCTCTGAGCCCCAGTTTCTTTATTTCTAAAATGCATAATAATAGGGGCGCCTGGGTGGCTCAGTCGTTAAGCCTCTGCCTTCGGCTCAGGTCATGATCCCAGGGTCCTGGGATCGAGCCGCGCATCGGGCTCCCTGCTCAATGGAGAACCTGCTTCTCCCTCTCCCACTCCCCCTGCCTCTCTTCTCTCTCTCGCTGTGTCTCTCTCTGTCAAATAAATAAATAAAATCTTTAAAAAAAAACCAAAATAAGAACCTTTAATAAAAAAAAAAAAAGAGAGGGAAGGGTCAAGCTCCAGGGACTAGAGAACTACTCTTGATCCTCCCTGTGTGCTGTTGGCTTTTATTCAGTGTTTTACTTTTAAGCTCTTAGGGAAAAGCATCACCAAGAAGAGGCAGTCTCTTAAGATTATGATCCAGCAGCCCTGAGAATTTGGAGGACAAGAGGAAGAGTGAATGCTTGGGGCCATGGGTCTGTGCCCAGGTTTTCCTCAGTTTGTCCCACCAGAAGGGCAGAGGTGCTGACTGGTATTATCTGCCTGATACTCTGCAACAGGTAGTGCAGACTGCTGCTGCAGCTGCCGATTTGGGCAGTGCAAGTGCAAGCCATGATGGTCCTGACGCTACCCCTGGGAAAGAAGCAAGAGCAGAATTCAAAAACCTTTCCTCAGACTGTCTGCCTCTCGCACTTTCTGCCACCCACTTCCTCCCAACACACCAATTCAAGATATCCTTCACTCTTCCCAGGGTTTTCTCACACCACTCATCTGAGTTTCCTACTTGCTTTTATTGTTTCTCCAGAGCTGGCTCTGGGGGAGGGTGTCAGGAGCCCGTAGTGATAGACCATTGTGGTTTCTTTTGTTCTTGTTAAATTTATAAGTGGTGCTGAGAACACCTTGGGAAAATTTAAGTGTGCTAGATCTTCCAGAAATAATTTCAGACACCAGCCTTTGCTGCAGCTTTGGCAATGCCTTTTTATTGAGCCACTGAGAAAAGGAGAATTTCTTTTTGAGATAGATGTTTCTTCCTGGATAATTCCATTGATTCACACGGGAGTGTCAGCAGAAGGTGATCTTGCGTGCATTTGTGTTCCGTAGCAGAGTGTGAGTCATGGGCCTAAAACCTTTTCTCTCCGTTATGTCCGGCTCTGGCCCCATTGCCTGTAGTTGGGCTGACTGTATTTGCCAGCTTGCTGAGATATAATATCCTGTTTTCTCGTTCTATTGTTTTCTTCTTGATGCTGGCACCATGTTTGCTTACCATGGATGTAGCAATGGTGGTGGTTAGCATGGCGGAAACAGTGTGTGCACGTGTTTAATTTTAGTGTGTTGTATGGTGATTAACATAACATAATAAAAAAAAAGAAAAGAAAAAGAAATAAACGTGGTGTGTTTTTTAAACTTGTGCTTAGAATCTTTCATGATTTGTATTCCTGCCTTCTTAATTTGTCTGGTTAATGCTAATGTTAATAAGGGAGATGCATTGGAATAGTTACCATAAAGGGTATCATATCTTAACTTTTTTAATGTGGTGAAATATATATAACATAAAATTTGCCATTTTAACCATTTAAAAAAGACAATTCAGTGGCATTAATTACTTTCATTATGTTGTACAACCATCATCACTATCTGTTTCTGAAACTTTTTCATCACTCCAAGCAGAGACTCTGTAACCATGAAGTGGTAACCCTCCATTTCCCCCTTTCCCCACACCCCAGCAACCTCTAATCTACTTCTGTCTTTGTGAATTTGCCTAGTCTAGATATTTCATGTAAGTGGAATCATACAAAATTTTTCCTTCTGTGTCTACCTTCTTTCACTTAGCTTAAGGTTTTCAGGGTTCATCCATGTTGTAGCACCTATTGGAACTTTCTTTCTTTTTATGGCTGCATAATATACAATTGTATGTATCTACCACATTTTGTGTATCCATTCTTCTCTTGATAGACATTTAAGTTGTTTCTGTCTTTTGGCTTATGTGACTGATGCTGCAATGAACCCTTGGCATGCACGGATCTCTTTGAGTCCCTGTTCTTTTCAGTATATACATGGGAATGGAACTGCCAGGTCATTTTTTTTTTTTTTT